GAGATATTTTCGAGAGATACTCGGCTTTTATATTATATATATTTTGTTTTGTATCTATATTTAATTCGGTTTTGGCTTTGAGGGTTTTAACGTCAAACTTATTATTAACTATATACCATTTGCAGAAATAGATAACAAAGTATTTTGATCCTGAACTAGAAGTCGTCGTGGCCTAAAGGATAAGACGTCCGGTGCATTCGTATGTAGCGATGCACCGGTGTTCGAATCCCGCAGGCAAGTACCAATTTTTCTAATGAAATACGTACTTGAAAAATGTTCACTATTGATTTCCACGGTGAAGGAATAATATCGTGTAATAAAAATCAAACCCGCAAAATTGGGACATCTTGTGAGTCCGCACGGGTAGGTACCACCACCCCGCCTATTTCTGCCGTGAAGCAGTAATGCGTTTCGGTTTGAAGGGTGAGGTAGCCGTTGTAACTATACTTGAGACCTTAGAACTTATATCTCAAGGTGGGTGGCGCATTTACGTTGTAGATGTCTATGGGCTCCAGTTACCACATAACACCAGGTGGGCTGTGAGCTCGTCCACTCATCCAAGCAATAAAAAAAAAAAAAATTTTTTTGCCAATTTAGTGCACTAGTGAATCTTAAATTAACTACGGCATGTAAGTCGTCTCACGGACAACTCTAGAGCTATTGGCAAAACGTTGTTCAGTTTTGAGCTCGTCCATCCACCTAAGCAATAAAAAAAAAAGAAACTTTCTCAGAAGTGCCATCAATAACTGGATACAGTTTCAATTCGAATGATAGATATGTAGACTGAGAAGAAGACAATGGAAAAAACAATCAAATAATTATTTCATGAACTTTTACCAATAATAGTATGTACATTGATCGAATTTCATGAGCATTAGTTTCATTGGCTAGCAAGTAAGGATACGACAAATATTGTCACTTTTGTACTTCATGTAAGCAGAGGACCATTATATTGAAGGATCGGGCAATTTATCGTCCCAGCTAATAATAATATGATCTTGCGTACGTCTTTATCTATAGTTATTTTGTTATTCCTAGTCTCACATGTAACTAAATACTTATATACTAGTGGTCCCGCAGTAGTCGAAATTCGACTATAATTAATTGAAATTTTAAGTTTGAACTTTATTATGAATCTATTGTCAATGAATATTATTAAACTTCTATAATCACAGATTTCGCCAAGACTAAACTATAGACAAATAATAGTAATGGAAAAAAAAAAAAAACCTATTCTCAATTTTATCACAGACTTTAAGCAATAATAAAAGTTTGACAATAAACAAAGAGTATATATGTGTGTGTCAAATACATGGTAGTGTGTGTAATGTTTTTTTATTACTGTAATGTGTTATTAATGCATAATTTAAAAAAGATATTTGCATCTGTGGAAAATTTTATACTCCTCCGTCCGCGCAATTTTCGTAAAAAGTGATACAAAGTTTTAACTTCACGTATTAATATATAGATTTTAATAATATCTTTTAAAAGACCATCACGTTGTTCTATGACTATGCCTAAACTTTATTAAATTGTAATTACTCTTTATTTGAGGGCCTATCCAAATAATTGCCCCGACACTTCGAACTCCCATCCCTTTGTGTCCAATACACTTGTTTTAATATTCTTTAGCTTTGTTCTCATTGCGGTGTTAAGTTTCATTTAATCGTCTATTGATCTTATTTTTTGAAGGTCATTCGCTTTTCGTTTAGAATTGAAATGGAATTTATTTCGCTTTTTACATTCCCTTCAGTCCGTTCAGTATTATTTTAAAATTATTGTTATCAACGCTGTGCTTTTTTACAATTTCTTGTAATGAATATCCACTATCTTGCAAATCAATAAATTCACATAATAAGATTTACTTTAGTCAATTCAATTACAAATTCCCCATTTTAATGTGTTTGTACGATCAGAACTTATGGGAAAAAATTTTTTTTTTAAACAAGTGGCTTTCACCTCGATCTTCTCCCACGATCTGGTGTAATTTAGGTACTCCGCAGGATATGTTTGTTTAGCACGTCATCACACCTTTCTTGCTTAAAATAGAGGTAACAAATTTTCTTGTTCTAGACGACTGATTGTCCTTTTTTTTTTATAGGATTTGAGGGTGCCCTCTCCTTGCGGGCTGTCATTGCCCGCATTACGAGGACGAGAGTTCGTGGGAGGCCATGGCCAGATTTTGCGACCTGGTCATGGCGTTCCGCGAGGCTGAGGAGCGCGAAAGGGAGTGGGATCCCTCTTCGGCTCCTCAGCGAAGAAGGCGGGGTGGGCGACGCGGGCACGATGCCCCCGTTAATCTCCCGTAGGGACTGTTGGGTACTGGGTACGGAGGCGCCTGGTGCTCTGCTGTCGGTTTCGTGGAGAGGCAGCGCAAGGTGGCTCCTATGCGCCACTCACGGTGTCTCCCGAGACGACGTCCTTCGGGATCTTCCCGGGGATTGGATCCCGTCCGATTTTCAGGACGGGTACCGGCGACGGCGAGCCTGCGGCGCACATTGTGCGGTACCGTAGGTTTCGTGGAGTCGGAGTGGTGGAGCTCGATGGGGTTAGTCGGTAGTCGGTTTTGCGGGGCGGATCCTGCGTGGTAGACGCCGCGCAGCGCCTCGCGCGCCTTTCTCAAGGCGTAGTCTCCCGGTAGGAATTGGAAGAAGAGGAGGACTTTGGTCTTCCCCTTCTCCCTCTTCTTCTCTGGAGGCGCCGGAGTCCGACATAACCCGGTCTATTACCCCTCTCGACCGGGTATCCGTAAATGGATTCCACAGCGTTAAAAAAAAAAAAAAAAGGGTGCCACTTGACATATTCCAAGTCGTCAGCATCTGGCGCGAATTTTTAAATATGCAAATAAAGCTAGAAACATTAATTCATTTGCCTATAATAATTGTAAACAGATTAAAACCGATCTAACGAACATACTTAATCCATATACGTGAATATATTTTCACTTTATCCATACTTGCTAGACGAAACTTAACCTAAATGACATGTTGAACTTATCACCCGAAGTAAGTACAGCGCACAACAATCCGCCAATTTATCTCTCGTCACATACGATAGTTCGCATTTCACGGCGACAATGCCTTTTAACATCTACATTGTTAAAACTATATATAGACCAAACTTCGAAGTATTCCAAACAAGAATTTGCCAAACAAAATGTCATATTACCGTACAAAAATGTTTTTTTTTATTTTTATTTTTTTATTTTATTATTATTTGTGGTCATAGTTTAACAAAGATAATATTAATAAATGTATCACTATGTCCTGCTAGTAAAGCGTACAAATATTAGGTGTAAGTTTAATCTACATAAAAATAAAAAATAAAACTTAAATTATTCTACTTTATCATCTAAAGTTATCGTCTAAATATTCTGACATACTATAGTAAACCATATCTATTAAAAATATTTGCAATTTTTGCTTAAAATCTTGTGAATCTACTGTCTTCAAAATGTTTATAGGTAGTTTATTAAATATTCTTGATGACATACTAAAAAAACTCTTGTCATAAAGGGCAGTTCTATCAGGTAGCGAAGAAATTTTTAAAGTATTCCTAACTACTAAAGTACTGTAATATCTACCTATTGTATCTCTATCTCTATATCTACCTATTGACTGAATTTCAGCAATTCATAAAAATGCACAAATATACAAATTTTAATACGCTTTTATTAGCTTCATACGTATGTTAGTATGTGACGGAATCTTTGAACATGATTATGACCTCTTTCAAAACGTCGGATTAACTCGAAATTTGGCATACTTTTACGCCATTTGATATCAATAGTTATAAATATATTATGAACAGATATAAGTAGAAGGGTTATTTTGATAATATCCTGAAAAGCACCCCACGATTTTTTTTACAATAAAATTGGATTTTCTGTAAACGCGTATTTTTTAAGTTTATTTTTTTAACTATTATTTATTTACATCACAATTCGAGTACAATTCATATCAGCGTAGAGCACAATTTAATGCGATCATCAAATGGATTGAATGCTCATAAACTCACTTAGCTAATGAACTGATAAGAGGGGCCCACTATTTTAGTGCTATTAAGTGGATATACCTATAAACGCAACGACAGACCGTAAAACCCATGGCCTTGATCTTCGTAAAAGTTTCGGAGACTCCTCTGGGCATTAACTATTTAATTGACCACGTCTGGAGTGAAAGATCTTCGGGGGAGAAATTACCATCAAAACATGGGGGGGTGTAATCGACGGGGAACTTCTGAAAAGCTAGCCCTCATGCGTTGCTGCTTACTTGACTCGAAGGAGTCACGGCTAGCCTTATCAGGTCAAGGCTGAACCGGAAGGGTATTTATGGGATTAGCACAGTCCCATCAACCCCATCACAACTGCTTTCCTGTGTAGAAACGGACTTCTCATCAAAACATGTGTACTCAAACAAAAGTATACCACTTATTAGGGATGGGGACCAAGATAATTGTGGTTACGCAGGAATACACTGACATATTTTACAAGTTAACCAAAGGTTTGTGCCTTGGATATTAATACTTTTAGTTTCCTAATATTTGTTCGCAAAGTGAAAATTAATCTGTATCGCTACTCTATTTTTACTTTTTCTGTGTCTTAATATTGACAGGCTTATTGACATGGTAATTTGTGTGAAATGCATCATTGGAATGTGTCCTAGTTAGGCAGAACCGACCTGCTGGGAATTTATAATTGAAGACCTCATGTAATCGTTAAAATACACGAAAAAATATCTTTTTTGCCACGCACCATCCGGCTTTGGAATGAACTCCCCTCCACGGTGTTTTCCGAGCGCTATGACATGTCCTTCTTCAAACGAGGCTTGCGGAGAGTACTTAATGGTGGGCAGCGGCTTGACTCTGCCCCTGGCATTGCTGACGTCCTTGAGCGACGGTGACTACTTACCATCAGGTGGGCTGTATGCTCGTCTGCCTACAAAGGCTTTAAAAAAAAAGGAATTTTCTAAGGACTATACTAGTTCTTTTGTTGACAGGTCTTGATTCCTCGACAGCGATGTCTGTGGAGAGCCAACAGTGCCTGTGCTTCGTGGTTCTGCTTATCCACACAGTCATAGGTGCTGGGGAAGGTGAGTCGTCGGCTTAAAGTTACGAACAAGATTATTTATAGGAATATCTTAGGTATAGTATAGTATATATTGTTATAGTATAGTTTACTGGTGGTAGGACCTCTTGTGAGTCCGCACGGGTAGATCACCACCACCCCGCCTAGTAATGCGTTTCGGTTTGAAGGGTGGGGTAGCCGTTGTAACTATACTGAGACCTTAGAACTTATGTCTCGGGGAGGGTGGCGCATTTGCGTTGTAGCTGTCTATGGGCTCCAGTAACCAATTAACACCAGGTCGGCTATGAGCTCGTCCACCCATCTAAGCAATAAAGAAAAAGTATAGGTATTAGGCAGCGGCTTGGCTCTGCCCCAGGCATTGCTGAAGTACATGGGTATCGGTAACCACTCACCATCAGTTGGGTCGTATGCTCGTCTGCCTACACGGGCAATAAAAAAAAGTATAAGCCACAGGCTCTATCTTGAGTTGAAACCACGCACTGGCAGAGGTATTGTTTGGCACCCCCCCCTGCCTAATGGAGCGATGTTTTGCCAAGGATGCCCGGCAAGAACTTCACAATTAAACTCTATGTCTATATCTATAAATAATGAATTGTACATGGATAAATAGTATATTAAATCTCAAGAACTTGTGACGAACGCTGCCAAACATAAGTTTAATGTAGCCTGTTAACGTGTATTGTCATGGTATCAGGTAAGAGATTAAAAAAAAATCTTTTATTTATTTTATTGCTCTTAGTAAGCCAGACAGGCTTATTTGGTCGACGTGTAGATATAGCTTATCCTCCTCGTTCTTGCCTCATGTTCCTCAGAGCTGAGAGTCGTGACCTTGTGACTATGTTCCTCCGTTCCTTCCACTCATCTACCTAGTCAGGTCATAAATTCTGTCACATGTTTAATGTAAAATAATTGAAACAAGTTTATTCATTATGTAACCATTCATATACCAAAATGAACTTAACAAAACATAAATTCTTATGACACTAAAGTTTATTCAAAATGACCTCCGTGATTTTGAATACAGGCCTTCAATCTGCGCGGCCAGTCGTCTATCGCAGCACGAACGAGGTCCATGTCAATATCGGCGGCTGCCTTAATCAAGGATGTCTTGAGTGACTCCAAATTGGGATGAGGCTTTGAGCACGCCTTTTCCTCCAAGTGTTGCCATATCTTGTAATCTAACGGATTCAAATCTGGACTGGAGGAGGGCCAGTCTTCGTGCCGGATGAAGTCGATTTCACGCGCCGCCAGCCAGTCTTGTGTGCTCTTCGCTCTATGAGCTGGCGCCGAATCTTGTTGGAATACCCAGTGCCTGTTATTGAACATGGTATGAGAAACAGGTTCCACAAGGTTCGTCAGGACTGTATTTTGATACACAACTGCATTCGTTTTTACACCTTTCTCACAAAAATGTACCTCTGTTAAGCCCCAATAAGAAACTCCCAACCATACCATGAGCGAGGATGGAAAATGACCTCGTTGGACACGCGGAATACGGTTGCTCGCTTCTTCACTACTGTGTGCGTACACCTTATCATTTTGTTTGTTGTAGCTCTCTTCTACGGTAAAAATTTTTTCATCCGAAAAAAGAATTTCCCGATATTTTTTTCCCGCGTACCGCTTCAACAAAGCGCGGCATCTCTTCAGTCTCAGGTCCATTAGACGAGCATTCAAACGATGTCCTGTTTTTCTTCGATATGCCCGAAGCCCTAAGTCTTCATTTAACACCCTTTTCACCGTGGTTCTGCTTAACCCCATCTGAAGGGCCAACAGTTTCTGCTTACGTTTGGGATTTCTTTGAATTCGCGCCTTCACAGCTTTTATCACTGCTGGAGTCCTAACAGACCGAGGGCGACCACTTCTTGACCTGTCATCTACACTAGAGTCTTCATTGTATCGTTTGATGGTACGATAAACGAATCTTTTGGTTATATTCAAATTTTTCAGTATGTTAAAAATTTGAATTGGCGCGTAACCGCAACGATGCAACGCAATAACTGCAACACGGTCTTCTTTAAGCGTCCACTCTATATTTAAAAATGAGTAAAATTCTAAAAGTATACATTTTTATTTTCATGAACAATTCGAAATTCGAATTCAATAAACTTTTTTGTGGCCAGCATTCTAAAAGAAAAGTTTTTACTGTGTGACAATACTTATGACCTGACTAGTTATATCTATATCTATTCTTCTTCTTTTCAGTCGTTCACTCCTGGCGGTGTGGTCGTGGTTACGTAATTCTTAATGTTTGGTTGCGGCTTTTGAGAGACTTCTCCATCTCTCTCTATTTGTGGCGGTACGTGCGCACTCAGTAAGGGAACACTTCGTAGATAATTTAACCAAGTCTGTCCACCTTGTGGATGATCGGCCGCGAGAGCGTTGTCCGTCTACTCTTCCTTGAACCACTAAACGTTCCAATGAGCTTTCATTACGAATGATATGTCCAAACATATTAAGAATTCGCAATTGCACAATCGACGATATAACTTATATATCTATATCTATCTATATATATAGTTCATAGAGAAATCTTCATCAAGAAATTTCTCCAGCCACCTTGAGTTGTGTGGCCACACGCCAAAGTTTCATATGGTATCGTATAAAAGTGGTCCCACTATTAAAACCGTAACATATACGAACAAATAGTTGCTTCAAGGTAAAAAATATGCAGGATGTACACTCGCACCTCTTCGTGTGGGGCGGACACACACATTTTCAGTTAATACTAGTCATAAAACTGAGTGCAACAAACCGGGTAAAACGCAAAATGAAAAGTCCGTATTTAAAACTCCAGTATATTTAGTTCAAAAAGCAAAGTTTTTGCTAACAGACTACATATATAAAATTAAAAAGTGCACAAAACCACATGGAACCGACCACGGAAAAGTTTGTTTATAACGGTCAGCGGAATGAGGGTGTATGGCATACGACTTTTTATTCATTTTATCAACATGGTGGCTTGCAGAGGACCCGAAGGTTTTATTTACCTCTCCGTTGTTTTAATCTTCATGCAAGATTTCTCGTTCATTAGTATCAAGTTTCCATCGAAGAGCTTTAATTAGAATTACTTACGTCTTTGGTAGTGTTCATGTTGATATGTCTTGCATTCAGATGAAATTATGACATATCATGCTTGAATATGATATGAATTTCAATTAAGCTTACTCCGTTAACAAAGGTGAAGGAACGTTTTTGCTTTGATATGTTTTCAAATTTTAAATGGCTCTCTTGTAAAGTTGCAAAAAGGTCGTTTAAACCAAATAGCTTTTCACATCTCGATATTAACTGTGTGGTTTCTGTCTTAAATTGCTTTTTAAGATACCCAATCTAATTATTTTTTTCCACGTTGACGTAAGTTAACTTCAACCACAGGTTTTTTTTTTATTTATTGCTTCGATGGGTGTCCACCGACGAGCTCACAGCCCACTTGGTGTTAAGTGATTACTGGAGCCCTTAGACATCTACGACGTTAGTACGCCACCCACCTTGAGATATAAGGTCTCAAGTATAGTTACAACGGCCTCACCCTTCAAACCGAAACGCATAACTGCTTCACGGCAGAAATAGGCGGGGCGGTGGTGCCTACCCGCGCGGAATCACAAGAGGTCCTACCACCAGTTAATATATAATGACCATCCATTTAAAACCCAGAATGCTGTTTAAGATTAAAACAGATTACCGGAACAATAAACCGAGCGTCTCCAGAGCCAAAAAGCGCAAACGGTACCTAAAATGTTTTATGACAGATGATTAATACGAGGGGCGGTCTAGCGTTGAGCACTGCATGATAAATCTGCACTTGAACCGGCTATAAAATCAAGTCTAGCCATAAATTTCCCGAGCACTCTTGAACATTGCCAGCTATTGTTGAACGTTTATTTTGTAGCTATCGTTTGTTAAGACTCTTCGATGTGAGAAAAGATGGCATTTGGATTGACTTTTGGATTTGCTGTTTCTATCGAAGCTTATTTTTAAGGTCATACAGTGTTTTTATAGAGTTTGGTGTATTTTGACTTTGATAAAAGCAACATGGATAACACGGATAGTCCGATTTGATTTGACCCAAAGCAGTCATGCTTTTCGGTTTGAAGGGACAGCCGGTATACAAAGAAATTAGGTTTTTGACCCCACGTCTCAAGATGGCATCCTGGCGAATTTCCTGGTGGAATCAAGGCGACATTCAAGTGTAGGTGGTAGTGGTGGAATCTCAAGCCTGCGGCCTGTTCTTACAATAGATACGCGTGGTACTATTAGCCCAGAAGAATACTGCGCGGCTCTTCTTGGAACTTCTGCTTCTTCTTCTGAGTCAGTTTCTTCATTGCCGAAGGTCGTGTCTAGTTTGAAATGTTGACTACTCGATGGACTATGCTTCCCCACGTCTTCTTGGAACAATAACTCTATTATTTTGTGTATTTGCTTACCGAGACAACGTGAACGTTGCATGAAAGCAAACAATAATATCAGAAATTAATAAAGGATATCCTAAGCTCTTGATTACAGCTTTTAAAAGCTTTTATTACTTGAATAATTAACTGAAGTTTTCTCAATTATGCCAGGGAAATTTTCGTTTCGTCTCGCGAAAAAGCATCCGAGCTTTCAAAATTTTAAACAATTATTAGAATATTTTTTCATGTGAAAAGGTGTAAACTCCTTTGTATTTGTGGCGAGGACAACTTTTTTAATTACTTTTCAAAGGGGTTATTATCATTTGTCGTAATACTTTTGAGAGCTTTAAAATCTGAAATTGTAATCTATCTATCTATCTATCTATATAAAAATGAATTGCTATTCGTTAGTCTCGCTAAAACTCGAGAACGGCTGGACTGATTTGGCTAATTTTGGTCTTGAATTATTTGTGGAAGTCCAGGGAAAGTTTAAAGGGTATAAAATAAAAATAACAATTTTGTTTTTCCTTTAAAGTGTCCCCCGTCTCACGGATTCCTTTTGTTTGTTTTAAGTTTATTTTAGACAAAAGTTTAGGTCTTTTATTTATCGATTGAGGTACTACGAAGTCTGCCGGGTCAGCTAGTTATTGAATATATTTTTTTACCTTTTCAAATTACTTGATTATGCTCAATCGTTATCTACATAGATAGTAAATAAATAAACATATTAAAAAAGAAAAGCAAGTACTATCTATCTGTTGTTAGTTACCGAAGATCATGGATCATTCACTTGAGCATCCCCACTCAATTTGAGACATTAAGTTGAAGTCTGAACTATATCTCGGGTTCCCGACCCTTCAAAGCGAAATGAAAGATTATTTTACGACAGCAATAAGCTAAAGTTTTCTCATGCGTTCTTACAATGTGACGTAGCATCAATAAACTTAACCGTATCTTCTGAATCACAATAGGATAGTATATTATCAGTAAAAATCACCTATCTTTTGCTTTGTATAGTAAAAATCAAATCTGCAAATTTATGATTTGGGTAGTGGTAGTAGGACGTCTTGTCAGTTCGGTAGGTACCACCTACCTGCCTATTTCTGCCGTGAAGCAGTAATGCGTTCAAGGGTTGGACAAACGTTGTGTTATGAAAACTGAGACGTGAATTCATGTCTCAAGGTGGGTGACAGTATTTGCGTTATGGATGTCAATTTAAAACCCAGGGTAGGGTTGGACCTAAGCAATAAAAAATCTTATATACCACAAACTTCATTACTGTGTATTTGTCGACGTCGCCCAAAACCCGTCATTACGGATCCTCCCGATCCATTAACGGTGATTTTAGGTACCACAAGCACCGGTCACCGTCCTCGTCGAAGCTTGCGATGAAGGGCTCGACGAGCGAATTAACCCATAGACGCAGCCCACTGAGTTTCTCGCCGGATATTCTCAGTGGATCGCGTTTCCGATCCGGTGGTAGATTCTGCGAAGCGCTGCTCTTGCTAGGGCCAGTGTTAGCAACACTCCGGCTTGAGCCCTGTGAGCTCACCTACACGTTAGGGCGAAGCTGATATCGCCTCTCAAGGCTATCAGCATAGGTAGGAAAAAAAGAAGTAAAAGAAACTATGTACATTACTCTAAAGAACCAATTCTGTTGCAGGTCCAACATCGACAACAGCAACAACCACCAGGATCGAACAAAACGAATTAACAGTCTCCTTCCCGCCGCTAGAAGACTTATATAACAGCACGCCTGAGAAGCACTTCGCGACAGAGAACAATACGGTTGTGACGTCACAGACCGGTTCCACGGCACTGCTGCCCTGTGTTATCAGAAACATTGGTGATGGAATTGTAAGTAGTACAATTTTTTTTATAATTAATTTTAAGCATTTAAGGCCCGGTCACACTCTGCTATGGTCGAACACATTTGGTGTGGTTAAATGTGCGAAATATATTAAAATTTGTTAGGACCACTTCTCGCTGGTTTTGTATTGGTATTTTGAAATAGAAACTGCTATAAAGTAATTTTATCTTAAACTATATCTATATATATAAAAATGCTGTTCGTTAGTCTCGCTAAAACTCGAGAACGGCTGAACTGATTTGGCTAATTTTGGTCTTGAATTATTTGTGGAAGTCCAGAGAAGGTTTAAAAAGGTAGATAAATATGAAAATGCTCGGAATTAAATAAAAATAACAATTTTGTTTTTCCTTGAATGTGTCCCCCTTCCGACGGATTTCTTTTGTTTGTTTTAAGTTTATTTGAAACAAAAGTTTAGGTCTTTTATTTATCGACTGAGGTACTACAAAGTCTGCTAGTTAATAAATAAAAAGTGGAAATATCAAAAAGTTATAGGCGTAGTACAAAAAAAATATATAATTAATTAATATCATAGACCTGTTGTACGCCTGATAGTACTAACATAGAAGTACCAACAAAAGTTGTCACACCTATAACTGCTATGGTCAGAATCGTTTGAATTGCTGAAGAACACAAAGAGGACGTAGACAAACAAACTCTGCACTGTGTAATCCTTATGTTTTTTCTTTAAATTTTTCCGTAGTAAAAATGGCTATGCCAAAAATAAATCAAACTTCAATTATATTTGCGTAATTATTGGTGGTAGGACCTCTTGTGAGTCCGCGCGGGTAGGTACCACCACCCTGCCTATTTCTGCCGTGAAGCAGTAATGCGTTTCGGTTTGAAGGGTGGAGCAGCCGTTGTAACTATATTGAGATCTTAGAACTTATATCTCAACGTGGGTGGCGCATTTACGTTGTAGATGTCGATGGGTTCCAGTTAGCATTTAACAACAGGTGGGCTGTGAGCTCGTCCACCCATCTTAGCAATAAAAAAAAAAAGAAAATGGTTGGAACTTATCTAACACCTCGGGCTATGTCGGAATGGAACGTTAAAGACTAAAAACAATTTTTATAGAAAAATTGACGGTAGTTTGCACAGTATTCAAATAGTTACGACAAACAACCCTTAGTCCGACTTTTTGGCGGGAACGCGGGGAGTGAAGTTGTTAAATTTGTTTTATTTTGTCTATTTAGTGTTTCTTCAGGTTTAAATGTGTAATAACGGTGGTTTATTAACTGTTTAATATCTTTAAAAGTGCACAAATGTGGGAAAATAAAACAAAACCGCTGGACGTAAATTCTCGGGATCCTACAAAAAGTCCACTGAAAAAGTCTCAGTAAATGACCAACATTTTACCGAGATTATATTTCATCCGATATAATCTCATCTCATTCCATTTAATTTCACTCCATAATATCATTTTTCATAATAATAAGACTATAAATTAAAATAAGAATTGAGAAAGGTCTTAGTTACCAGGTCATAAAATCCCTTAAAAAACTCTTAATTGTCCATGAATACTTGAAACTGTAACTGTATTTTGTGACCGTATTTTTATAAGAATATTCTTTATAATATAATGATAATAAAAAACGCAAGATTCTACCGTAATAGTAGGTTTAATTTTGTCCGCGTCTCGCAAAAAAACCGGAAAGAATACTTTATCAAAATCTATTGTTATTCTCCAGAAAAGAATAATCTAGAAGATACATCGAGCTGCTACTTCTTAATAGGCCTATTTCTCTAGAGAATCAATCACCCGCTCTGTTTTGTGTTTCGGTATATAACTCTAATGGTATAGGAAATTCGATCTTAAGGTTTATTAGTTGAAGTAGTTTTCATTTAAATGGCAAGTAACAAGTATACGATATTATCGAAGAATATAGATATTATTAAGTGAATGGCACACCCCAACCTTGAGGCCCAAGCTCTAATAACGTTGCAATACCCGTTATCATACTTTTGAGACAGGAACGCGCGGATGGAATGATTTTTTAATTTTTTTTTGTAATTGCCCTTGTAGGCAGACGAGTAGACGGCCCACCTGATTGTGAGGTTACCGTCGCCCTTGGACTTCAGCAATGCCAGGGGCAGAGCCAAACCGCTGCCTACTAATTAATACTCTCCACAAGCCTCGTTTGAAGAAGGATATGTCAATGCGCTCGGGAAACACCGTGGAGGGGAGCTCATTCCAAAGCCGGATGGTACGTGGCAAAAAAGACCTCTGGAATCGCACTGTGGATTACCGCAGTGGCTCCAGGTAGTATGGATGAACTCGACTCCGGTGGCGGGCGGTGCGATGGTAAAAACGAGATGACGGTATCATCTCGAACAATTCCTCAGACTGCTCTGAAGCACACTGATATAGGTAAATAGTGGTAAAATAAGACGTTTTTTTTTTTTATTGCTTAGATGAGTGGACGAGCTCACAGCCCACCTGGTGTTAAGTGGTTACTGGAGTCCGTGAACATCTACAACGTAAATGCGCCACCCACCTTGAGATATAAGTTCTAAGATCTCAGTATAGTTACAACGGCTGCCCCACCCTTCAAACCGAAACGCGTTACTGCTTCACGGCAGAAATAGGCAGGGCGATGGTACCTACCCGCGCGGACTCACAAGAGGTCCTACCACTACTAAAAATTAGGAGGCAGGCTCCCCAAAAACTATTAACGATTACATATTTAAGTGACTTTTTCCATTTAGGTAATGTAAGGACGAAGAAAAAAAATATTCCCATGCTCCATTAAAAAATTGTTTGTATCAAAGTACCTGCATCAAAAATCATCAGACTGTAAAATGTTTCTGAAACAAAATAAAAAAAATAAAAAAAAACTCCACGCAAAAATATTCAGACTGAAAATTGTCATCCGTGAAAATTGTAGTGCGCCGGGAAAAGTGAACTATTAATTTCCCGGAGCTATTTACGAATAACATTTCTTTGTTATTCATCATTATATTTGTTATGTGTATATAGGTATATTATATTATATGTTATAAATTAAACTAGAGGTCCCGCAGTAGTCGAAATTCGACTATAATAATTAATTGGAATTGTAAGTTTGTACACTGTTGTGATTGTATTTTATACTTCTATAATCACAAATTTCGCCAAGACTACACTATAAAAAAATATTAATAAAGACAAATAATATTTAATCTATTCTCAATTAGACCACATACGTCAGGAACAAAAGTTTGACAATAAATAGTATGCATGCGTGTGTGCGTCAAATACATGGTATGTAGTGTGTGTAATGTTTTCTTTATTGATTTAATGTATCTTTTATGCATTATTTAAAAAAAAAATAGCATTGTGCACTTCTTCTCTACATTCTCTATAAGTGTGGAAAATTTCATACTCCTCCGTCCGCGAAATTTTCGTAAAAAGGGATACAAAGTTTTTGCTTCACGTATTAATATATAGATTAATATGCATATATCTATACTAATATATAAATCTATAGTGGTTTTTACGGATGTTCCGTTATAACAACTGAACCATGCATCCGATCGACTTGAAACTTGGTATCCATGCAGAAATTATATGTACTTAATGGATAGGCTAATATTTATATGAGTTTTGGACTTCCTAATAATAATGACAATAAATAATAATGTTAATTTTAAATGCGCAGCGAAGCGGGCGAGTACGGCTAGTATATAAATATATATAATTTTATTGCCCTTGTAGGCAGACGAGCATACAGTACCTGATGGTGAATGGTGACCATCGGCTTCAATCATGGCAGCGGCAGAGCCAAGCCGCTGCCTACTATATATGTTACTGCTACATATGTATGTATGTAGTACAGATTACATATTGTATAGGCGTAACTTGAGTTACTTATGCGGCATGATATGCCACTTTGAATGCGTATGTGTCGAAATTTACGTCTCTCACGCAATCTCCATTTCTGTCGTACGTTAAATGTTTATTCACATGTAACATTATAATAAATTTAGTTATGCTTTGGTTGTGTATGCTTTTCCAAAAAGCTACATTGTAGCAAAATAGAGACAGTACACTTTATTGCACGCCAAAAAATATTAACATTGAACAACGAAAAGCGATCAGATATAATATAATCTTATCTTACTATAATAGCAAACACAAGCTTGTTGTGCCGATGAGTAAGTTACATAAGATACGAAATTCATTCGGGTGTTTGTATGTGCGCCTGTACAACAAAAACCCACAAGATGTTCAGAACCTACATATACATAGGTTTAAGAAAACTATTAAAGAACATCTGTGCAATAAAGCTTACTATAAAGTCAATGATTATCTAGAAGATTGCACAAAGTGGGAATGAGTTGCTCGCTCCGGGCATTTCAATATTGTAGTAATTGTTACGTTATAATACTCATTGTCAAAATCTCATATTAAAAACAAAAGTAATATTAAAAAAAAACATAATTAAACAATACATGCCCGCTGAGTTTCTTGCCAATTCTTCTTAGGACGGAGGCTAGTTCTTGTGAATTGGCGGTAGTTCTTTTGACGTTCAACAAGTATGTACTCTCATTTATGTTGATTAAAACTTTTTGATTTGATTTGATTATCTTATACCTTTAAACGAGCAATTCTTGTATATATATAATCTGAATCTCGGAAACGGCTCCAACGATTTTCATAAAATTTAGTATACGGCGATTTTGGGGGCCATAAATCGATCTAGCTACGATTTATTTTCAGAAAATGTTGTTTTATTCGTGTTTTCAATAATCAACTCTTCCCGACATCTATTGGCGAATAATAATACTATTTTTCTTAATTGAGGGCATCACCTAGTTTGTTAAATATACGTTCTTCTCACTAAAAGAGATCCCTTCCAAACAATTGTTTTCATAAGAGAAATTTCTGAGAAAAAAATACGCGTGGTATTTTGTGTTGTACTAAAAATACTGAGATCTATCAAAATGGAGCAAACCTTGTTTTTGGCTGGAGAACTGACGGCCCAACTGCCATAGCCTACAATGGTAG